GGCATTCCTCTACGCCTTCGCCCCCCAGCTAAGAGGGGGCTTCTTTGTGTCAGAAACTGCTGCTCAAATTCCAGTTTTATATTCGAGGTGAACGTTTATCTTGTTTCATCTAACAAGTGCTTCCCTTCATTTGACATTTCACTGTGGAGATGTTAAGTTTAAAAATATTTCTACTGAAGGGCTGCTAATACTGCATTTGATTCATACACACAAATCCTTACAAGAAGTCTATATAATATATAAAAAACACTTGGGAAGTTAAACTTTCTTTCCCCCTGCATGTTATGGGGTCACTTTTCTGTTTATGCACGGAAGTACAAAGAAACCATGCAGAAATGAGTGTTTAAAAAAAAAAAAAAGAAGAGAAAGGTTGAATTTAAGTTGTTACCTACTGTACGTTTTTTCTTCTATATAATACAACTAAGTCTCTACGGGGCAATAAAATGTTACTTTAGTTTGATTCTCAGAAGAACTGAGATTGTGTCATCTATCAGCGTCAGATGATAAAGAAACAGTCAAACATTAACATTTAAAAAAAAAGTTTGGCTTGCAAAGTGGGCGCTGGGAGCGCGCGCCGCAGGCACAGCACCGCAGCGTTGTCCTGCCGCCGTCCCGCGGCGTTCTTGCCCCTCCGCTGCAATTCTTTAGTACCTGCGCCGTTAACTCCGATTTTCACGAGGTGGTTTCGCCTGCCTCGTCTTGAGGAAGGGCGAAGGAATCGAACCGATATCCCCACGTATCCCAGGAGCGCCCTTTGCCAGGCGCTCGCAGCAGTGCAGCGGAGAGAATCCCGCCTCCCGGAGCGGAGCCCCTACGGCCACGCGCAGGACGGCGCGCACGCGAGGCTTGGGACGCGAGCTTACAGGAGAAGAGGCCCAGGTTGCCAGCGCTCGTTTCCAAGGAATGTAAAGAGAAGCAACTGGTTTAGAAAAACACCTTGACCAAAGAAATCGGTAACAAAAAGTTATCAGCAACTACAAAGCCTGTAACATCGGACCATTTCTTTTTCAAGGGCAAGCGAGGAACAATACGCGGATAAAAAAGATTAAATGCACAGTGTAACTCAGCAGGTGCAGATAAAACTGGAGCTTGGGCAAAATAAGCATGACAAATGGGAATTTTGACTTCTTTCTACTTCGGGGAGATTACAGCGCGCTGTATAATCACAGATTTATTCCCATGTTGGGAAAACAAGACCTGAGGACGGTTTCAGTTCAGGACTGCGAGGAGGAACGCATCAACTCGTGTTACAGCGCGGTCCCGGGGAGACGCTAGCAAAATTTTACCAGGTGGATACACAAGGCCTAGAAGATATTTTCTGATGCGTACACGCGCACCCCTCTAGTACTTGCTTAACAGGGTTATGGAAAACACTGAATGCCTTTGGAAATAAGACCTGAGACAGTGGCTATGCCTCCTCTTAAAACACCAGGAAAAACAGTTAAGCGTTCACGTCATTTCCCATTCCTGACTTAACACAAACAAACCAGTCATTTCCTTGAAATGGGAAAGTATTTTGAGCAGACGGTTAGGAGAGCTTTAAGATCATCCCGCAGAAACAACCATCGTGTTTACCCAGCGCCTGCGATGGCACCGCTCTCTCACCCAGGCAGTGCTGGCAGGCGGGGAACCGAAGCGCTGCCGAGATCCCTTTCCTCAGCGCCACTCCTCGCAGCTGCAGGCTTGGTACATGATCTCCTCTAGGTGTTCGCACTTGTCTGGAACAGAAAAGGCTTAGACCTCCCTGTTTTCTCTAACGGAGCGAGTCACAGAATGCTTAAAACTACAACAGACCCAATGGAACGGTTTCAGAGCTCCAGGGACAGACGGGGCTTTTGGATAACCGGTTCCAGGCACCAGGGATCGCAGCTGGTGGAGCAGCCTGGTATGGAAACCACCTGGAAGCAGATCCAGCCCCTGCCAAGGGAAACATCGGCCGCAGCTCAGCGTTTCCCAAGAGGTGCCCCAGGAAGATAACTGGGGGTGCCGTCAGCCGGCAACGGTCACCGCTCTTGCTTCAACAGCCAAACGGTGGCACTTGCGGCAGCTCCAAGAGAAGCCCGTGCCCAGAACCGTGCCTTCAACAGCGACACGGAGAAATCCTTCTGGGAATCAACTGGCTAAGAATTGCCAAAGCCAGTCGTACGTTATTTCATTTTATGTTCACAGGTAGCAAGTATCTGGTAACCGACAAGCCTACGCTGGAGAGAGGCTGCCAGATAGGTTTGGCAATAAATCACCGTATTTGAGCCCTCGTTTGTCAGTGTATATGTGAGATACCTGGCTTTCCTCGTAACGGCTTTCCTCCTGAATGCCAAGTTCCATCACCCCTTCCCTTTGTCAGGAGTACGAGTCTCGTACTTAAGGCCTGCACGCATTGGCAATCCATCCCCCTGGCAGGGCAAGAAGGGAACTTGCCCGAGCCCGTAAACCAGATCCAGGAATACTTTGTTTACAGGAAAGAACATTCTCAGGTGCCGAGTGCTCTGTGTTTCACAGGGCCTGTGCTGATCCAGGGCAACCTCAAAATGCAGGGACCAAGCTGTATCGGAGGTCTTAAAAGAAAAACCATCCTCTCTGCCAGGAGGGAGCTGGGGTTCTCGGTCAGAGCAGCTCGGGTCCTTTGCCATCTGACCTTGTACGAGACCCTCCTGGCCAAAAAAAGCGGTAAGGGAACAGACTGCGATACGCAGCGCGGGGCTGAGTAATCCCGGGTTTGATCCTCCTGCCTGGCTGCGCGCAGAGAGAGGGCCCGAGCGGCCGTAGCAAAACGGGTTCTCTCCTGTGTCCCGGTGAAACGGGGCCCTCGCCTCCTCCCGGCAGCGCTAGGGAGGGCACCGTCTCCTCAGAGCCCGAGGAGGGACGCCCGAAGTTAATGGTGCGGGCGACGGAGACCATCGTCCCTGCTGCCTGAGGAAATTAAATTAAGACTGAAAGCGTTGAAGGAGAGTGAAGTACGCTGTTGCCAGCAGCGTATCACTGGCTTAGTACTGCTCCACGTAAGCTAGTGAAGACTGGGAAACCATTGCTACACAGCCTAGCAAGAGCCATTTAAAGATAACGAACGTATAAATGAGTCTAGAGAACCTGGGTAGCCTCAAAAAAAAAAAAAAAAAAAAGGTACTGAAGGTGTGAACACAGGCAGTAACAACTAAAGCCCAGTAAGGAGATACACTCGCTTTTTGGTCTATTTTTGTATTCTGTAGAACACAACCTTGCAGAAGCTCTCTGCTGTAAGCTAACTAGCTGTTTACTTTAGATAATGAACTGCAGCTAATGCATATCAGCTCTTGAAAATTTGCAAAGCTGTATAACCACGCTGACAATATAATGTGGAATTACACGCAGGCAGAGTAACGCCCGCTGGGCTCTGAAACAGCAGCGACTCTGCAAAGGAATCGTTTAAGCAAGAGCACAACCACGATCACAGCGGCGCAATCAAAGCAGCGGACGTCTCCTCGCTGCGAGGAAAAAGGCTAGGATCTCCTCGCTGCAAGGAAAAAGGCTAGGATCTCCTCGCTGCAAGGAAAAAGACTAGGACGGCGGCCCGCCGGAGTCACGGGCTCCCTCCGGTACCTCTGGTGTGGCACAGAAATTCAGACACACGTAACCGCAGTCACCCTGACCCCAGCAGCACAAAAGCTACCACGAAGGAACAAAGACGACTGATAAAATGCATATGAAAGATAGGGAATAAAAGAACCAAGAGTTTGTAATGGAACTTAAATCCATGTTTACAGTTAAAAAAAGAATTAATACAATTTACAATAACAAAATACAATTTACAATACCAACTAGGACGGCGGCCCGCCGGAGTCACGGGCTCCCTCCGGTACCTCTGGTGTGGCACAGAAATTCAGACACACGTAACCGCAGTCACCCTGACCCCAGCAGCACAAAAGCTACCACGAAGGAACAAAGACGACTGATAAAATGCATATGAAAGATAGGGAATAAAAGAACCAAGAGTTTGTAATGGAACTTAAATCCATGTTTACAGTTAAAAAAAGAATTAATACAATTTACAATAACAAAATACAATTTACAATACCACCACGATCATTCTTCTCTAGGAAGCTGCAGATGCTCTAGGTGGCTCGAGGTACGAACGCCAAGGCGTTAGACGAGCACGTGCTTTGACAAACACGAAACCACCGTCAAGAGACAAATCAACCTGCAGTAAGGCTCTGGAATCCTGTGTTCCATCAACATCACCGAGCCCATTAGCACCTTTCCCTCAGGAATCTGCCAGGAATCTCCAAAATCAAAACCGACTGCTGAAGTGAATGCACTTCAAATGAAAGGATCTTGATTTATTTTTAGCAGGAAGCTTCTTGCAACGATTTCAGTGCCACACAGCCCGATTTAAGCTGGCTTGAAAGACGCCGCAGCGCACTGTTTCTGTGCCACAAACACCAATGCATGATATGCACATCGTGGGTTTGATATTTCTCCACGCAAGGGGAAAAAGTAATCATGAGAACCGCATTTCCGAAGATTAGTACCTGCAGCCAAAACCGCTCCCGCTTGAGCAGCTCTTCCTACTGAAGTTGACATCCAGCAAAATCCTAAACATTTACGTTACATTAATCATGAAAGGAAGTCTTAAATAACAAGCGTTTTCCAAGGCTCTTATGAAGCAAGTAAAGGAAGAAACTGAACTATCAAGGAACTTTATATTTGATAAATACTAGATTTGTCTGAGGAATCTTCATGGGATTGGGGAAGTCTCAGCGGTTCCTTGAGAGACAGAGGGGCACCAGCATGAGGAGGCCGTGCTCGGTTTGGGTTTAAATGCACTCAACTCCTCCCCTCTCTGAAATTTCTGTTCCCGAGCCAGCTACTGAAAGTCAAACAAGGTTATTCTCCTTCAGTTGTTTGGTTTTTTTTTTTTCCCCTCCTCTCTCCGGCTTCTACCACAAAACCCCAACAGGGGAAGCAATCGCTCCCTTCCGGCACGTCCGCGGGGTCGGGGTCCCTTAGGCGCAGGGCGGCTGCCTGCGTGGAGCCCACTGCGACCGAGGAAAGGCATCCCCGGCCCAAGACCTAGGCTGGCTGTCAACTGGTCTCAAGTTTATCAAACAAACGCTCCTACCAAATATGCAGAAATGGGAAGACTCTACTGGTACAGGTAAAACAAACGAACAACCAACCATCCAAAACGTACCCTTAGGAAACGGACGTCAAATAAAAAACGTGAGGTGACAATTTTTATATCCAGTTATTGCAAAGGACTCTCACAAGCCAAGTGTTCCTCTTCGGATCAGTAAGCTTTTAATTACTGCACTGTAGCTGTAAACATTCAATTACATTTACAAATATTTTAACTTGGTGCTTCCAGGAGAAGAGGGATCAACTTAAACTCCATCTGCCAGTTGGTGATGAGAAAGGTTGCTTAAAACAGGATACGGAGAGCTCACACATTTTAATTACGACTCCTGAAGTATCTATTTTAAGTAAATGAGTTGCAACTCCAACATATGCAAGAACACAACAGCATAAAGTGAATGTTGCTGAAATGAGCGCTGCTAAGAAATGCACAAGCTGTTCTCAAGCTGGGAGCTCGCTGACGGAGCTCCAGGGGTCACTCCTGCCTTTAGTCACTTCGCTAGCAAATCATCTCACCGTAGCGGGGCCGGACTCCCAAATACAGCACTAATATGAGAACCACAACACGCATTTATAAATCAAGATATCTCGGTCTCATCAATACAAGACCTTGGAGACCCGTTTTCCTTGTATGGGTGGTGATCGTTTACACTCAAGTTTTCTGAAGAAAGGTGAGAAGAACAAATTTAGGATTAAGTTTTTACACTCATCTCAGGAGGACCGCGGGCAACTGTTGGGTATTCCGATCCACTGGCTTGCTGACAGCGCACAGAAGACCCTGGCAAGTTGATCTGGCTGATGCACAGGCTCATTTTTCCTGGCATTTGTACCTCTCTTCCAGTGCTAAGTATCTATTCCTCTGCTAAATGCAGTAACCACCGAAGCGCTCATTCCAAAAATACAGTCCCCCGAGCACTGGCACCGTTATCCATGTTCCCTCAGCAACTATGTCATTCTGGAGAAGGCGGAAGGAAGAAAAACACCTCTCGGTTGTCAGGGAAGACACGCTGGCCCAAGACCCGATTTAACTGCCAACAACTCCTACAGGATAGTTTTCACCCAGACCAACCAAGTGCCCATCACAAGCATGACTTTGGATGGGTGCCATTCCAGAGGAGCGGCAGAATCCCAGAGAGAAACAGCTGTATGCCCCGAAAGAGCTGCAGAATTAAAAAAAGTTTATGTAGAATAATATCTACTTATATATTATACTTTTTTATATATATACATATATGAATGAATGATCATACTTCCAATATGGCCTGAGACAAGAAAGCTGCCCGTTTCTTCCTGGAGGAACACAAAGGCGTAGGCACTTGTAATAGGAACTCGGATCAGTTAAGGAACGTCACATGCAATAGTCCTGTAACCGTGACACTGAATCAAGCAAACCTTCGATATTCATTGTTCGTGAGTAAATGGGGAAGCAGCAAAGCAGAGGTAATACCGACAGCGTGAGTTACTACGCGAGTACAGGCTGGATTATGTGCATTGTGTAACACCCCAATTCCCTGAATCCAGAGACATATTTTGCAGGATAATTTGGTTCCAAAACGTAACCCTTCATTTCAGTGGAAAAAACCTATCCATGTCTCCTGACTCCAGGGCGCAAAACTGCAGCTTCTTGATGACGTGGATGGACAAGAAGCTGAGATGCCTTTTTCCACAAGTTCCAAGTAACTTCTGGTTTGCAAAAGCGCGGAAAGGAACAACTGCAGATACAGAACTGTTCCTCTCTCCTCCGACAGCACTACTTGCCCTGTTAAGGCAAACCACAAAGACTCCCCACTTCTTGCCAAGAGGGAAGAGCCTCGGTACCGCCCACCAGCCCGCCGTAGCTCCCGTCCTCCAAACTATTTCACCACGACTTCCTCTAGGTATAAACTAGGGACACGTTATTGAAGTCTTTTGAAAAATGTTTGGGTTTATTCTTTGGTTTTCCTAGAGCTGTCACACAACTTTAGGATAGCATTGCACTAGGAAAACAGAAAAGTCCTCTGCAGATTTCAAAGGCCAACTTAAATGTAAACTAGACTGGGTGGAAGTGGGTTAGAATAGATATTCTGATTTAAAAAGAAAAACGTTTAATCACAGAAGCCAACAAGAATACGGTTACCTCTCTAACAAAGTGCAGAAACAGCAAAACATATTTATTTTTCCATTTATTGGCACTTATTTGAAAAATAGCATAAATATTCAACAGAAAAGAGACAAGTTGACCCACACGCAACTATGAAATCCCTCTACTGATGCATCTTTTTTAAAAGACTGGAAGAGACACCAGGAGGTTCATTCCTAAGAAAGAAGCAAGATTTAAAAAAAGTAAAAAGTCTTGCCCTCACCACAAAAGAGTGAACGCAGAGCAACTCTTTGGCACACACCTGAAATTGCGACAGGGAACTATGCCACGTTAGGCAGAGAGCAAACAGTCATTAAACACAAGCTTGTCCATCTGCCAGGGAATGAAGGGCAGTCTGGATTTAAAAAGGAACTGCAATCAGGAAGGTGACTATTACAATAATTTAAGAGGAATGAAATCAGAAATAAACCATATCATACCTTACTTGAAGCGAGTAAAACTATTAAATACATTCTATTTTCTTTCTACAATAAGGACATACGGAAACTGGTCATTGGTCTTCAGGTCACCAGGTCTTTGCACTCCAAGTCATCCATTTCTGATTTTGACTGGCTGCTGTCAATCCAAGCTTCATCCATGTGAATCTTTCACAGCAGAGTTCAGAGTGGGCTTTTCTCCTACTTGAGGAAGTTGCCATACTTTTCTCACTTTATTACACGTTACAAAGATTTAGTGTTTAAAAAATAAAACATTTTGCTTCATTATTAACCTCTCTGGAGAGAAGGCTTGAAACCACACAGTACAGATGCGTACACACGTACAAACGGGGACCCCGCTGGGGAAGTTCAACTGCGTAACAGGAGTCAACAAGCAAAATGAGGTTGCCACTGGAAAATCTGAAACAGCTGCCTATGGTGGGGCTTGCAGGTTTTTCCTCCCGTTTGGGGAATTTCAGAGTTGAGATCAGGGTGCCTCAACTCACTGACTTTTCAAATATAGTACAAGGATCCTGAAACATCTCAGATCACCAAATTCTAGGCTTCCAATCAGCATCTGAAGTTTTCAACAGCAGAAATAACTTCATGCCATTGTTTGAGGAAGCGACATCAGGAGATTAAACACAGATTAAACATGTTTGATCACCTCAGCCCGTAAAAAGGCATTCAAGATTCCTCACTGTATTTGTCCAACAAAAGTCATAGATGAGGATGAAGACTGCCTGTTAAAATAACGCACCTCTGAAGTACTAAATACTAAAACCTCAGGATTTAATGTTTTGTTCCAAACATTATTACTATTTTTCCCTATTAAAAGGCCTTTAACAGAGCATCTACCACTCTAATACATCATCTAAGTGGGAAAGAAAAAGAAAATAATACAAAAACTGAGCAGAATGTTCCACACCTAATTTGGATTTAGTCACAACAGCGGTCATGATCATGAATAAAATCCAACATATAAATTTAAGGTGACAATTCACCAACTTGTTCTTTTGCCATCTATTAGAACACAGAATCGATTAACAGCCAATCATAACAGAACACAAGAATCACACACCCCCCCCCCAATATTCCCCCTTTCATATGAAGAACAAAAAATATAAGTATCTAACACTCGGGGAATAAAACCAAATTAGTAAGCTGCTTCATTGGTTTCAGACTGAGGACAAATGTGAAAGTTATCTGTTACTACGTAAGCACCACTTTATATTAGCGAGGACACTGCCTGTTGGCTGTTGGAAAGCCAAGTCTTCCACAAGCAGAATGTACGTACAGTATTCGTAACGTATGCCGACAAGACGATACCTGTTGTAAATCAACAGCTTCCTTACTGAAGTTAGCATCAAACATGTCTGCAATTCAACAGCTTACTGTGTTTTAGTAAATGTCATACAAATCACTAGAAACGTGAATTCCTCCTCAAGGAACTATTTTGGAAGTTTTCTAGAAATAATGACATTTCTGGAAGTTCCTATGAGGAACAGAATCAGTTACACACAACGGAAAGTCTTATTGATATCCAGCCTGTTTCTTGGTGTCCGTGAGCAGACTTCTGCTTCTCAATTAATAGGTAACTTAGCCGTAAGATCTACCGGTAAAAAAGGAGATCTGGAGTCAGAAAATGAGACTGGAGAGTCTGTGTTGGCGCCGACTTCAGCTGGTGAGTCACAGGAAGAGCCTGCACTGCTTCTGTTGTCATCAAGAGCGTGTGATGACAGACTGCAAAAAGAGTAACATCAAGATATGAGAAATGAGGTACTCTTTCTGATAAGTTTCAAATACTAGCTTCCAATCATCATAAAGCCATTCTAAAACCAACTGTACATCTTTGAAGGAACAGCAAGCCCTATGATTTGAAATAAATCTGCAGCTGCACACCTGGCAGTCACTTCCAAACAGACAGATAACGTTCTGCCCATCTCCTCCTTCAGCTCACCCAGCAATGGTGTACAGATCAGAAGCGCCAGGCTGAGCAATTCATTGCAAGCTTTACCCCATCTCCTACAAAGTCCCGGGCTAGCATATATCCAGAGGCCTCTTTTGTCAGGAGAGCCGATGATAAACTGTACATACTTCAGTTGTACCATTCACTACATACTTCACAGGACACAAAATTATAACTATAGGTGATCTATCATCAGTGATAGCGTCAGAGCGTTTTTAAAAATTACCATCTCCTACACCAAGATGCAGCGCCTGAACCTGCACTGCTGTGCCTACTATGAACAGGGTGTGCAAAAGAGGTTGTGTTTTTAAAGTAGCTTTAAAACATCTATTTTATTATTGCCGCTGCAATGGGCTCAAAGCTTGTGCACAGCTATGTGCATCAGCTGAGAGGCAAAAAGGACAAATGTACTGTGAATAACCCTGTCTTGATAGTTGTGGCACGCCCTACGTATTCTTAACCTCTTGACTAAAATACTAAATCAAAATCCCTTGCTATTTCAAGTCATTACAATTTTTTACGTAGCACTTTTTATCTCCTCCCGGCAGGGAGGGTCAGACAGACTAATTTTCCTATGTGACTAAGCAAGGAAAAAAAAGAGGAAAAAAAACCCCCAAAACAATCCGCCCACAAGCATTAGCATTCATATGGGACTGCAACTTGAAACCAGACTCCAAAAATTGCCAGCCATGAAGTGTCTTGTCCTAAACATGCTCATCTCCCATATACATGAAGCATGTTAACAGTCAGTCCTAGAAACTGTAAAATTGTAGTGAATATTACTGCCTGTTTACTGTGATAATTTCAGTGCTTCAAAATTACGGGATGTTTGTATTAATAAATAAAAAAAAAAACCAACAACTTCAAGCATGATCATTGCTAGATGAAAAAAGACTTGTAGCGCTTCTGATGAAATCGACACAATAAATAGCACAGCATTTACCATTCCCCAAGCTCCGCCTGATGTGAAACTTCAGGGGTAAGTATATTGGTGGATCCTTGGAATAATCTTTTTGGATGATCTTCTATCTCTGTTACACCTTTGGTAAAAGATAAGAAGTGATAAAAAATTACTACTTGCTTGAACTACAATCTACTTTCAATGTAATTCTACAGAGCAAACAGAATAGTGGTTCAAAATTATTATAATCTATTAAGTGTTATTTTATATGTAAAACATGGAAGTTCAATGCTGGAATTTTAAAGACTCTTTATTTCTTGGAAACATTCTAGTCCAAGCTTCAGGAAAGTTTAGTGAGTTATGAACTGAGGTTTAGATATCAGATATTTATTCTTCAGTAGCAGAGAACAATTTTTTTGTTCCAGTTTGTTCAGCTATCAGTTCACTAACTAGCTCTGTCAAAGTAGAGAAGCTGAGAATAACGAAAGCTTCTTTTCCTCTTGCAATCAATATAAACAAGGTCCAGGATTATCACTAAACTTGTGTATTGACTTTGATTTCCAAATATACTAGAAGAAGGGAGGACAGAGATATGCTTAAATAGACTACAACACAACTCAGATAGAAGTATTTTAAAAGTTGTCTCATGGCCAGAAGTGTTCTGTTACAAAGGTGAAGCATGAAGATATATTTAAAAACAGATGCAATAAAATAACCAGAAGTTAAACTTGCGGAAAAATGTAGGAAGAGAGAGAAACATTTCCCCATAAAGCAGTAAGGTGTTTACCAGGTCTCTGGATCAGTTTTTGGTTTTTACCATGGTTTTAAAATCATCAGAAGGATGATTTTAGATCTACAGTACCTGTGCGCTTCAGTTAGCCAGGACTTTCAAAATTTTCTATTTGTGAAGTTAAATATACCAATAGTTGTAGTTCTTGTTTTGTTAAGCAGCTTAAATTAGTTTCTTGTCAGATGTATATGACTACAGCAATGGAGAGGCATTAGATCAGAACAACTATTACTTTTACAGAATACTAAAAACTAATTTATCAATTTGTCTCTTTTATCCCTATAAGTAGTTCCATTTATTTGGTCATCTGTAGTATCCTCTATTTCTAGTCACTCTTTGAAATATCAGCCAGTTGAACAGAGTTATGAAGAAAGCTATATGGATTACTATAAAATTAAACAAGTTGACTTATTATATTAGCCAAAACCAAATACCGTACCTTTCCTTTTTATTGACCCAAGAACACTTGGTCGAATGCAGTTAATTGGACTCTGGCTTCTCCTGCAAAAAGGCGGCATACGCTATAATGACATCACCAGTAATAAAGGAAGCCCGAAAACATGTAAAAAAAAAAAAATCAAAAGATACTCAGATAAACTACTAAGTGGAAAACACTAAGAAAATAGGCATTAAAACAGCTTATCCAAAGTAAGTCCTCTTTTTTTTTTTTTCCCCTAAAGAAAGAGCAGGAAGCATAGACCTTAACAGAAAAAGTTGAATCACATTATATCACAGCTGGGGCAGTCTAAAAGCTCACATCTAGGCACTGACTAGATCTCAGCTGACAGGCAGTACTTTGCTGAACTGTTAGGGCCTGATAAAATTTAATCGTATGTCCGCATCACTCAAAACCAACATCCAACGCAACTAAAACCAGAATCAGTAACAAACCCTAAATCTGTTTGGTTATTCCCCCCCCCCCCCCCCCCACCTTAGAATTCAATTCAATTACTTAAGCTCTGATTAAAAGCAATATAGAGACGACACTGAGAAGACAGATGCCACAATGCAGCCCACTTTCCCAATCATAGAATCATAGAATCGTTAAGGCTGGAAAAGACCCTTAAGATCATCGAGTCCAACCGTTAACCCAGCACTGCCAAGGCCATCGCTATACCATGTCCTCGATGTTATGACATGAGAATTTTAACAAATCTTTTAAAGCACTGTAAAATCCAAAGTTTACATGAATATATAAAGTTGTATTTGTGATCAGAAATCAATTAGGTATACAACAAATTCTGGTATTTCGAAAGCCTACTGTGAACAAGCTATGCCAATTTTCTGTTATTGCTACGATCTGGTACTTACCTTGAAAATCGCCGTGTTGGACTTGGGCTAGGACTTGGAGGTAATCCACTGCTGCTTACCAAACTTTGCAAAGATGGTGAGAAACATTGCTGAGAGTAAAACAGTTTGTGTTATTTACCGATCAACACTGTATCACACTCATGGGAACAACTGATCCTTATCGCAGGTAAGCAACCCACTATCAATTTAAGTGACCAGTCAATGTGGCTGGGTATACCGAGATACCACTTTTTTACTGAGAAAAATTAAGAAAGAGTTGGATAGATTGAATTTTCATGCAGAATACATGCAAGTTGACAAGGATTTATTTCACCATTGTCTGGTTTAACAGACTATGGTTCATAAAATGAGAATGCATGCCCCTTCCTCTTATTCCAAGAGGAAGGCAAATAAAGAATAAGGTTTATTAACCACAGATTAGCAGTCAAACAACCCACAGAAATTCACATCCACAAGATTCGCAAACTGCTAGCTGGTCTTTTCCGGTTTGGGATTTCAGGGTTTTTTTGTTTACCCCCTGGTTTCTTGTTTGCAGCTGAGGTAGAAAGGAGGAGGTGGCTTAATCTTTTGCTATTAATTTGGTCGAATTTATTTAGCACTACTCAAGATAAAATCATTATTAACACATTTTGCTCACCTTCCCTATTCCTCTGGTAGGCGAAGGAGCTGGAGAAACTGGGACAAAGTCTACTTGTTTTGGTGATGATGATTTTTCAAAATCATTGTCGCTCTGTAAATAGTACATATAATTAATCTTATGAACAAGTACCTTAACATGAAAAGGACTGATTGGTGTGGACTTGAGTAAGATTCCAAAGTTATCCTCCATCATATTCATAATTTTTAGGTAGCCATTTATGAGCTAAACTTAACAAAAAAAAAAAAAACCAAACCAAACCAAAACAAAAAAAAGCCTTAAACATTACGTAGTGAGTATCAGAACATGGAAGAAAATTTGAACAGGCAGACATCCATGCAATTTTCTTTTGACATACCAGCCAAGGAACCCACATGTATCCTCGAACAACTGATAATTCTATGCCTTGTTGGTGTGAAAAATTGCTGATCAAAAGCAGTAATATACTAACACCTTAATTGTAGGTCAAACTATAAAAGAAAATGTTGACATGAGAGAGTCTCTAGTGTCCTGATACTGATAACAGAAACACAAATTAAAGCATGAATGCATTACCAGGCTCAAGCTCTCCTCCCATGAGTGGCTCATCTGCATTGCTACTTGCACTTCTCTATAAAGAAGAAAAGAAATGTATTGTCCCGGGCCCACAGAAGACTGTATTAAGTATTCTAGTTTGCCTTAATGCTTACCTTTCACGTACTGTTTCTCTGTTCATCAAATTCATTCCTTCTTCCTAAAAGATCAACAGATGAAAAATTAAGACAAAAAAAAAAGGAAAGCTTTGCTACAGCAAATCAGAAAAGCTCGTTTCATTCCACTTTGGTATGCGCAAAATTTAATTCAATTTGGTTGAGCAACAATAACCTTAAGCTCTCCCTACATGAAAAGGAGTGAGGGGGAGAGGACGGGAAAGAGATGTGATGGTTTCTCTTGCTACATAAGAAGTGCTCAGGGGAGCTGACTGTTTCTCAAACAGCTTTTTTATTTTCATTACTATCCAAGAGATAGTTACAAAACTGAACAATGATAATATGAACCAAAAATTCGGCACATGCTAGAGTATCTTTATGCAGTCTCGCATAACATTATTTCACAAAGTGGAAACTAGTACAGGTAATCATCAAAAGCATGGCTGGATTCTTACCTTATTCTATGGATTAGTAACAGCCAGCATTTCATTTGTAATACAGTGCATTGTACACAATGAATTTGGGATTTAGTGTTGTTTTTTTTTTTTCTAAAACATCCATAAAATATTATTCGAATGGATCAAAGATGTAAAATTAAACTAAACACGAACACCAAGTTAAAGTACAAACTTGACTCAATCTCCTCTTAGGTAGACACCACTCCTTAAAACTACCTGAATACTGCCCAGTCTGTTGAGTGAATGAGTAGATTCCCTAATTCAGTCCAGAATTCAGTCCAGTTCTAGAATAAAAGTTTAACTAAACATCTTCACCATCTTCATCATATGTAGGAAGAGTCTTACTAACGTAGTTCAACTGTGCGATTATTTGCTAAGATTTGAAAGAGATTAGAAGTAAATTACACAGGTTCCCGTCTCTGCCAGTAAGTATACAGGACATGGAATTTCAACTTGTGGATTTAATGATCAAATACAAAGTAGGAAATGCAATTGTTTGCTTTAATAAATTTATGGAACAAGTATGAATACAGAAGTATTTTCCAAAAAATTGAATTATCAAACTTTACTTCATCTAATATAGCAGAGCCGTGGTACTTCATTCCCTTGCTCTAATCACATTTACATATTAATCCTCAGCTTTTTTATGTTGACAAAAACAGCTCTACAACTGACCTGAGTGCTTCAGAGTCTCTTTAAGCCGGTAAATTATTTACACAATGAAAGCAAACAGTTATTTTCTTCAGGATTACTACGCGTGCACCTTAAATATCTGAGGTGGGAAGCAGAAGTGCCTTCCATCAGTTCAGACATCATACCCTGAAAATGCTGTCTGGAGCATTAAATTGTTTTCTTAACTTTTCACCCTGTAAAAATCAAGCCCATCCATTGAAAACTAGCAAGCTAAAAAAAATTATTAAAAAAAAAAATCAAACATCTTCAAGCCAATTTTATAAACATTCTACTGTCAAAAAGTCAACATATAAAATGGAGGAGCCGCAAGAGTTTGAGCCTGTTGATTTTAAAACTTGAGGCCTTAGACTGCGGTCTGTTGTCTGGGAGCAGTGCTATTTAAGCCTACTCAGATATTTGCCACCCCTCCCCTTCCTAAGTGTTTGCTCATGTGCCCTTCCCCCTCCGCTCATGCTGCGACAGCACGAGTACAGAGGTCTGGATAAGAAAATTATACAGATGAAAAATAGCCCAGCCAGAAGAGTCCAAACTATTTTTTAGCCAGAGTGCTTCCTTATCCAGTTCATTTTCTGGCTGCACAAAAGTCTTGTGCCAACACAAGTTAAGGAACACTTTGTTATTGGCCCTGAATATTTATGCTGGCACTACTGCCAAAAACTTGGTGAAACTTTACCCTAAGGGTTTACATTAAAGGTTTCCTTTCTAAAGTGTCCATTTTAAGATTTGTCTTTCTGCTCAAGTCGTCTTCTCTCTCTAAGATGCATTCTAGTTCACGAAATGTAGAACTCTGCAGACAAGGTACAGCTTTTACTTTTGAAAACACCTTGAAGTAATAGACTGCTGCAGACTCTGTCCTACAATTTCAGAAGTAAAATCTATAGCCCTTTGAAGGACATCACACATTAACTGCAAAAAACCCAACCACCTATAAAAAATTTAAAAAAACAAAAAAGAGAATCTGTGCTTACCTGTTTGATTTGATGGAGACGGCTGCTAGGAATACGGATAGGAGATGATGGCACAAACTGCAAAACAAAGCCACATACAACTGAAACACACTTACAAACCACAGGAGAAGGGAGAGAAAGGTGCAGGAATGTTAGTAACCACTCTACAGTGGTACCCCAAACTAAAAAATATATGTTGTGCTTTGTTTTGTTTTGTTTTTTTTAAAAAAAACACAGCATTCGTAACATTCTCAGTATACACAAACTACATTAATTACTTGCAAGATTATGATAACATGTATTTCCATATTATACCGCTTTGTATGCTCACAAATGCTAATTGGCATCAGCCTGCCTTTCACTTCATTTCCAGGCAACTACAATTCACAGCCTTCTCTACAGAATGAAGCTGCTTTTAACTAGCACACTGCCACCCGTAATAGTTACGGTTGCATAAATTTTTTCATTTAAGTGATCCAGAATATTTAAGTGATCCAGAAGGCTCCCCAATACTTCATTTAAAAATACAAAGCCAAACCCACATACTGTGCAAAAAGGTTTCTGGATTGTTGTCTGCCTATAAGTGAGTATTTTGACAGGTGAAAAAAATCAGCTATTAGAAGGCTAACAAAGAGCTAAATACCTTCCTTTATGGTTTCTCAAGACCTTCACCAATTCAGGTCAAATCAGAGAGGATGTCACTAAAAATGGTCTTCTGTTAATTTTGTCAGTTTTGCATTAAGATCTCACTGGAATGCTATGATCTAAAACTGCATACTCAAAACCAAGTAATTAAAAGCGATTATTTTCTCAAAATATAATTTCCTTTCACATATTTCCCATCCCTCAAATGTTTGACCCTCAGTTGACTTTTGTCATAACCGATTCAGGGATCAAAAATTCAAGCTTTGAATAGAGGTTTAACATTTTCTCTGTAAGCTGACAACTGCTCCAAAAAACAAGGTGTCTTTTTAAAATGGATGTGTGTTTAGCAGGTAAGGTTTGTACTATTACTAGGTGTTTATACACTTCATGCAGTATGAGGCTTCATCCCCTTGGCAAAACATTACTAGAGCTCTTCATTATGCTGAAGTTGGAGAACTAACAAACATTCAGTTAACCATTTACTGTACCATCGTCTAATCAGTGCCATGGAGAACACAAAGATTTTGCTGTCTTACTCAAAAGGTTATGGTTATTACAGACTACTAATGCTTCATATATCCAGAATCCTCCCTTTAAAAAAACAAACATCAAGATATCACGCCCTTTTTCTCACAGAAGATATTAGCCCATCAGACTCACACAGAGGATGTCTAAGGTTTGTGCCAGAATTTAGACATCATAATATATACTACTAAAGTCTAATGGCTATAATGCTTTGATTTGCTACTTCTTAAGTCCAGTTTAGGTCAGCTTTACTGTTATACCAGGCTCCCAAAAATCCTGTGCACCTAATAAAAAATTCCTGTAAGCCGTACCAGCCCATGTGGACCTTGAGCTGACCTTGATTCTCACACAGAGAAAAGGATCTGGACAATAGTACCTTCCTGCCTATTCACTCTGTCACTCCACAGTAGAAATGCATTTGTTCCACTCATTATATTCTAATTTTATGACTGTGATCCGCATAGTTTAAGGTTTGACATTAATAGAATATATACAAAACCAGTGGCTCGCAGTGTAAAATAAAAATTATAGAAAGACAGTCAAGTGTTCCTCTGCAGGATCTAACGCACTAAATCCGTTAACTCTGAGGATCCTACATCCCATCTCCAACAAGTCATAATCCTTGCTTTGTCAATGCTTAAAACTCACCTTTTCCCTGTTTGTAGTCCTTTGATTTACTTCTTGTGAAAATAAACTATCAGAAGCCTCAGGTATCCATTTTAAAGGATATTTGCTAAAGCAGACTGAACACATTTGTTAAAATTATGCTACTCAAATCCCAATGTTTTAAGAAAGCGCAAAGCTTAATAAAAAAAACATTACAAACTATTGCACTATCACATGGAAAAGAAACACCTTCCCCTTCCTCCCTTCTCAGGTATGTTAGATAATCTTTTTAACTGAAGGTAACGTTTCAGAAGGGCCAGTTCGGCAGGCAGCACAGCCAAAGTAGGCAGTCCCCCGCCCCGGTGCCTCTGCCCTTCCATTGCCATCCTCCAGTGCCCCCTGCCTTCTGCCAACACAAGCATCTGTGGGGCCACACAGTGAACCGTGTAGGAGGGAACTTACCTAGCTTTAAAAAATAAAAATAAAAAAAATTAAAAAATCAACTTTTGCTGAAATAGTACCTAAACTTCTAACCACAGACTAAAACGCTTTGCTTAAACAACAAAACCAAAACCCCAACCACAAAAACAAAACAAAAAACGCCAAAACATTTACTCACTAGATGCCACTGATATCTTCTGGAAGGAAATAAACAGCGGATACTGAGCCTAGTTGACCCTTCCTTGGCAATTACATGGAGTGTCAGAAAACTGCAGATTAGGCCCCAGGCAAAATGGCATAGCTGCCCCTGTAGTCATCATTATAAAAGAGTTGGAGTCTGAGACTTGGAGAAGCCACTCAAAAAAGAAAAGATTTTAGAATTCAGCTGAGCCACTGGGACAACCACAACAGCCCTGAAGATGGAGCGAGATAGAGCATGACCTTCAGTTACCAGAGCATTTTAGCAACTCCCATTGTTCCCATGACAGTGAACACAACACAGATTAGACAAATACTAATCAATTTTTTTCCCCACAAAGTTTAACAAAACATAAAATTTTAGCTGTACTTACAATACTAAATTAACAAAGCTTCAGTCACTTACTGAATCTTTTCACTCTCTTTATTAGAGCTTACACTGCAATAAAGCTTGGATTAGCTTTCCTAAATACACAAAAGTCATTTTTGAAGTACACTTTATCACCTACTTATTGTAAAATTTAATTTACCAAAGTAGATGTCATCTAACTCCTTAGAACATCTCTAACATCATAAAACTATACTTAACCAGACAATAATTCAAAGAAATATTTCAAAGTGGACAAGGCACCAATCTAGCAGCCAATGGAGCACTTGATTTTTAGCATAAGTAAAATTTCAACTGTATTTTGTCAGCACCTGGTCAGCTGGGGGTGAAGAAGGGAGTTAACTTTCAGGATGCTTTTTAATAACCTTCAAGTGAGGTGAAGGGTTAAGAACATCGTCCCAGGAAGATGAGAACACTGGTTCTGCCCAGAAGACTGCAACATCTATTAAGGGCAGCCAGAAGAGCTAGCCCATCAGTGAACTAGCTCCTGCTTCCCAGCAAGTTCCGGGCAACGCATCCTAAATTGCATCTTTTTTGCCCAACAATTGAGGATCTTCAAGAATTAAACACAATAAACTGAGCTTTCACCTTTGTTTGTTTCTCCTTTTGCCTGACCACAAGCATAAACAAATTTACCCTAAGCCATCACCCTAAAAATATGTATGAAGGAAGAGATTGTTGTTTAAAGAAATCTTTACCATAACGTGTTCTACCAGGTTTTATATCCTAGCAGGAGAAAGGCTTTTCCACCAATCTTTCTAGACTTTCACGTAAGTATCCCAGTCCTGTTACAGATGCAAACCTTTGCTGAAGTACTTGTCCGTCCCAATTTTAAAACAGAATTTTAGCTAAGGGGCATCAGTTAACAAAACAGGAGAGTAGCATTCTTCAAGCATTAACACGGGGCTAACAAATTATTTCCAAAGCATCTTCAAAAGGTAACTAAGAAAAACAGGATAATTGCTGTTAGCATTACAGGGACTTTGTTTCCCATACTTAAAATTGATACTACTCCCCTCCCACCCCAACATAGCTTAATTTTTCCAAAACATTAATAATCAGCTGAATGCAGCTGGACGTTATCCTGTGTCTACCTGTTTCTTAAGGCCTTCTTAGGGGAAAAGTTACATTTCTGGTTATACATGGAAGTCTGACCAAAAATTCCTTTTGGTTAGAGGAAATAACTACCCCATACACCCCAACCTTTTAAGGGTTAGCAAATCACGCTGTGTGATTCTGTGCAGGTATTCTAAATCAGTCAAAGTCACACCCTTCTACCACAATTTGTAGGATACGAAAACACAAGATATGCAATATTTTCTCTGGGTTCAGACTAATATTATAAAAATTCAGATTTGGGGAGTTGCAATAACAGAATTCTGACAAAAGCTGAAATCACAAATGAACGTCTCCAAGAGATATAGAACCATTCATCCTGGAAGTCTCAAGATTCATGTTCTATCAGCCAGTTATATCTTGTTATATCAGTTGTTGATTACAACAGTCTATTCTGTCATTACTACAGAAAAGACAATTTAAGATCAGAACAACACTGCACTTTTTTTTTTAAATCAGAAATGATTAGCACACTGGTTACTGAACAATACATCTAGGTAATTAGTTTTCCTTCTGAACTACCTTTCTTACTCTACCTTAGAACATCTGCTTGCATTTTATAAACAAAGTTATGATCACAATGAAATATAAGTACTCTCCAAGGCCAAATGGTCTATAAATAACATTTCACTATAGCTACAGCGTATTAATGTCAGAGTCCAGAGCCTTGTTTCTGAAAACATGTGGTAATAGTTTCACAGACTATGATCTACTTTTCTTCTTTAATCCTGTTTGCACACTTCTGCTTTGGACCTAACGCGGTTGGGTCTAATAGTTTTCTTACCAGACTATGACGATTCATAACTGTGGTACTGTTCCTGCGGGTTCGCAAAACGTTAGCCTGGAACACCTGCGAGTTATCGCTGTGAAAAGAAACACTCGTCAAATGCAAAAGCCATTTCCTTCCTATCAAAAAGTACCTCTTAATATAAGCTCAGTTTCAAATGCTATAACAGCCATCATTGCAAGACAAAGCACTCGAGAGACACGTATGTAAGAACTCTTAGTTTGCTGGCAGAGTGGAAACCAAATTGCTCTGCCCCCAAGTCCCAGCTACTTCAATCAATGATTTTAATTAATCATACTGAGTCTCCAGAATAACTGAAAAAATTGTTAAGACTGATCATTTCTGTAGGAATTTATTACGTTTGGAATGGCTGCAGCTTGCATACTGCTTCGAATGTCATTCAACAGAACCAATTTATAAATGGCATATAACCAGTAACTGAAACCAGCTTCAATGCCATAGATAGAGAATAAAAAAAATACAGTATCTTGATAAATCTTATCACTACGAAAATTTAGTAAGTTCTGAACTTTTTTCCAGGAGAGGTTAAATTAAACATACAGTAAAACTGGTTTTTAAAGCCCTAAGACTTTTGACCACAGTCACGTTTCTAACCAGGAAGCAGCGCCTCCGTTTATATAATGCAGGATTAGTTATTTGATATGAAATGAGCTCCTTTCTCAAGGCAACTTTAGTTCTATTGATTCCTAAAGCAAGTTTCACTGGTCATCACTAGTGTTATCGTCAGCCATCGATCAGCACTTAATGAATGAGACTGCAGAAATGAAGTAAGCTTTATGGTCACCAGAATAAAAATTTTGAGCCACAATCCTACAATCCCCATGCCTAAAAATCACTGAGGAACTGCACAGGCAAACAGATCCAAATGTAAGAGTGTACTTAGATCCAAATTACAAGAAGTCACTGGGTTGTAGCTTTTTGTCTCAGCTGCTAACCTGGGATGAACAAAAGCACTACACAAATACAATTTCTTAAAACTAATCTAATCAATAGCATTACCTTGTTCTAAAGACTGATAATCATAATGCACATCACTAACAGAATCCTCCAGTTTAAAATGCACCAGTTGGACACATGAGTTTTAGATAGCTTTTACCTAGCTGTAAATAAAAAAATAAAGAAAGCTTATCTTGTGAAAGAAAAGCATATAGGAATTGGCATAAGCACTGTGCTTTGTGCCATGAAGAATGCATTGACTCTCTTTCTCTAAAACGTCAAGTACAAATGACCAGACATCATTTAGAATTTTCAAAGAAGTTTCACTCAGTTTACACCCACAAGAGATCAAACACTTGCCATTTGATAGGCGGTGGAACAGGAGAAATTTAAGGGATCCATAACGCAACGTTTAGAGATGAGATTTACTGGCTGAGGCCAACAGCTACAGTTGCTTTTTAGCGTAAGTGTACTGGTTGGTATGCAAACACAACACAAACAGTACATCCCAAAATCCAGGGTTTGCATGGAGGAAACAGTTTGGAATGATTCTGTAACACGCTACCATAGGCCGAGTCCAATATTCAGTGCTAGCTAGAAGAGAGGGAGAGAGAAAAAACCCTACAATATCCTTACCTTTAATCTCCCTTGCAAAAACACCAGAGCTGATCCGATCTCAGACTTACCTTTCAGAGAAAATTCTTACAGTTCCCATTAAAAATCAATTTTATTTGGCATGAAAACAAGAATCAAAAGTTCTGTGAAAGGTAACTTTCGTGATCTAAAATATTCTACTTAAAAATGTTCTCTGGCTCTACGGTAACTCATTCTCCAAGCTCCGTACTAAATCTGTTAATGAAGAAGTCAAAACAGGAGGCAGAGTAGAAAAAGCAAGCTGTTCAAGAGCAAGAGTTTTTGTTTCAGTTTACCCAACAAAGCCATTCTGGGAAAAACTGAAGTTTCTTGCCAAGAGCTGCAATCTTGCAAAAACAGTTTTCTGCTGGAAAATTCCTAACTAACAGGCAAACCACTGCAACCACCTCAAATTAGTTCCATGGCATTTCAGTTTAATTTGTATAAAGACCTAATGTATAGTGTATGCAGAGTTTCAAGGCAAGAGCTCAGGCTTACCCTTCTACCTGCCCAGGCCCTGAAATAAATAATTTGTTTACAACATGGTTACGGGATGCTTTTTAAAAAAAAAAAAAAAAAAAAAAGTCAAGGGTCTCACAGTTCATAAGAAACAACTTACAAAAGGCCGAGATTATAAAAACACCTCATCTCAGTTATATGATTAGTTTACCTGCTCAGAAATCTCCCTGAGGAACAACTGCCATTCACAGTACTTCTCTACTGCATGGAAATGTAAACTGATAGTTGTTTCATTACAATTATGTAAAAGAATCACAATTATGTTTACCTAGTATTAAATAATGTCTGAATAGGCAAGAATTAGTATGTCTTCTGAACTGTAATGTACTGTTAACTATTTTGGTACAAAAGATTTATGAGATTTGTTTGTCACTTGATATCTAGTTCCCTATAGAAACATGAAGTTTAAGGAAAAAAAAAAAAAACAAACAGCAAGTGTTTATCATGCATTATACTATTTTTTATTAAGTTTATTGTCAATATGCTCTCCCAAACTGCAGACATACCACTCATAGCAGCATGTGGACCACCCCGAAGTTAGATGGTAGCCACACCATGTAGCAGATGGGGGCATCTCCCAACTTCACAACAGCCTCTGGGAGGCAGGAAACAGAAGTCTGAGTTATAAACTTACCCAAAGACAAAACCATCCAAGAGACCACGCCTGTCCGAGAGCTTCCCTCGAGCCCCTGCCTGGGGCTGCCACTGCCTCTGCCCTGTCAGCTGAAGGGGGCCAGACCTGGAGCACAGGGCGAACACCCGACCCCCTTGCAAATGCCACCTGCCACAGGCTGATGGCAATAGCCACAGCAACAAAATCAGTACCGGCCAGCAAAACTCCGGGACCACCGATACCTTGTTTTACGCTAAATGTAAAACTTATGTGTCTTTCAAGGTCCCATGAAATGATCTTCACCAAATTCGCCCGGTTGTTCTGAAAGCACTTACTGGTACAATCATACACGGCGCAGCGACTTTTTTGGTCAGACTTGAACCATTACAGAAAGCACAGAGATCGCTACTTTATCTACAACAACAGCCGCAACCCTGACGCTGCGTGCTGTTTCTCAGCTACAGCAACGCACAGCAGACCTAGATGAAAACAAACAGAGCGTCTTAGTAAAGCTACAGCACGCCTGCCTCGGCTTTCATAGAATCACAGAACCGTTAAGGTTGGAAAAGACCCTTAAGCTCATCGAGTCCAACCGTTAACCCAGCACTGCCAAGCCCACCACTAAACCACGTCCCTAAGCACCACGTCTGCCCGTCTTTTAAATACCTCCAGGGATGGGGACTCAACCCCTTCCCCGGGCAGCCCGTGCCCGTGTTCTCGCACCCCGCCACGCTCAGAGCGGTGTCCTGCCTAAACCCCTTCCCGCTGGGGAGCCCCACGTTTCCCCACACGCCCAAGGCACCCACAACATCACCGCGGCTCGGTGAGGAGCACCCTTCCCAGGCCAAACACGGAGCGGCCCCCGGGGCTACAGCCAGGGCGGCCCCGCGCCCCGCTCCCGACACG